CACTAGCAGGGGGTACTTCGTGCCACTGTTAAATGTGGAGAGGGTTAAGAAAAAAGTGAAAATTGCATCTGTACCCCCCTTAAAGATGGGCATACCTGCTATACCCAGTCCCAGCACCCAACTTGCATCTATACCCGGAGGGCATTCAACTTTGCATAGTACCCGATGGCTTTGCCCCTATGCGAAATTGTAGGTGTACCCAGTCCCACAGAGGCCCTGGATTCAGAGCAAGAAATTATGCTTATGCCCACCAAGTAGGCGGTTGTGGCCCAACAGATGCTGGTAAAAGGGCCTTTACCCGATGCAGCCCCTGATCTACGGAAGCAGCATATTGGGGTACCTCGCCCAGAGCCCAATTCGTGAAAGCAGATCAAAAGGCACGTTCTGTGGGTCAAAAGTCACACTCTAAACTAAAGCAAAAGGCACTGTCAAAGGTCACGATTGTGCCCCTGGACGAACAGTTGCGATATCTAAGTATTTGGGTTACATCTGTTCATCCAGGGGATGTGCAACTCATGTCTCTTCATGCAGAGATGTGTCTGTACGTGCAGTCAAATGTGTCTTTTCGTGCAGTAAAGGTGTCCGTTCGTGCGAAGGATGTGTCTGTCTAAAAGAAAAGTCAAAGAGTTCAGTCCCAGTTCGGATTCAAGTCGAAAGGGAAGTCTAGGTGCAGACTAGAAGTCCGAAATCAACACCTGGAGGCTGCAGCAGCAGTGACCCTTGAAGGAGAAAGGTCTGGGACACATACACAGAGGCTGGGACTGGGAAAGGACCGAAGACAGACAGGATTCAGCCCTCGTTTGAGGAGGCCAGCACTATAAGAAACGAAGCTGCCTCCTCCCACGACAGATTTTCCTCTGGCATTGATGCGTGGAAGTGCTGTGGCACTTGTGCGCTAGCTGGATGGATGGCGCTGGCTGAAGTAGAGCTGCGCCAGGAAGAAGGGAGGCTGGGCGCTGGCTGCAGGAAAGCCATAGCTGCGCCAGCCCATGTTAGTAGTAGAGAGAGTTAGTCATTAGAACATCAGTGAGTGACATTCAAAGTAGATCTTCGTAGGTGAGAGTGTGCATGCTGAGTGAAGAGTGAGAATCAAGACATAGTTCTAAGAGAGAGAGAGGGAGGACAGGGAGAAAGTCTGGATATGGTGAATACTTACCTGTTGCGCCACACTTGATTTCTGAAGGAGGACGCTGGTAGAGCCAGGTCCCTTGATGTTGACTGAAGAAGGAGACTTACTTCTGATTGGCGATGAACTCTGCAACTCTCGATATTCTTTGTATTCAAAGACATTGATAATATAAGCTGCGCTATTGGTTCTTATCTCATCTCATTCTGGTTTTGAGTGAAGCCACTTTGCACGTGTGATGACATGTATGCATGCGGTGATATGCTCTCAAGCAAGTTGTGAACAGTCAGGTTCCTTGCACTGGTTATGACTCATGAGCATAATTTTCAGCCATCCGGGTAGCAGGGTATATGAACAATTTGGCCCCTCCTCCTCAGGTCCCAGGTATGCCCATAATTTTGCCTGCGTATGTCCATAATTTGTGCATTCCGGTGGTTGGTTGTAACCGCAATTTTGCGGTACCAACCTGGGTCCACCATGGTCCTGGGCATGCAAACAATTTCCACCAGCCGTTTTCTGGGTCTAGACTCTAGACCCAAGTTGGTGCTGGGACTGTGGCTATAGACGGTATTCCCATCTTTAAGTGGGGTACAGATGCAATTTTCCCGAAACAAAACAGCCAAAAAACAGTTGCAAGGTGTTGTTCTGGAAGAGAGTTTAAGAAAGCAGTGGTCCAAATTGGAATGCATTGCCTCTTACAGTGCCTATGTACAGAAAAAATACTGTACTGGTAGATGGTGTGTTATACAGTAATATATTAGTATATTAGTATATTAGTATATTAGTATATTAGTAATATTACTACTTAATTTTGTAATTTGTAAAACATACTGCATCTTTTTTTCCTTAAAAGAGCTCTTTTTTTTAATAGCCTCTTATTCATCCATGTCGGTTGTTAATAATTTTTATTCGGTGAGCTTTTCAAAAATTCCGAAACCAACCGAAAAAACAGAAGTTTTCTGATCAGTTGAACAACCAGAAAAAGCACACAATAGATAGTTGTTTTTTCACGCCGCTGCTTCAATTGCAACTTTCAATTTTTGGTTGGTTGGTTGGTTGATTGGTATGCTGGCTTGTTGATTGGGTTGTTGTTTGGGTTGTTGTTTGGCCGGTAGGGTGGTTGGTTGGGTAGTTGGTTTTGTAGTTGATTTGGTTGTTGGTTTGGTGGGTGGTTTGGTGGTCGGTTGGCCGGTTGGTTGGCTGGTTGGTTTGAGGGTTGGTTCATTTCTTGGTTAGGTGGTTGGTTTGGTTGTTGGTTTGGTTGTTGGTTTGGTTGTTGGTTTGGTTGTTGGTTTGGCAGTCGGTTTGGTTGTTGGTTTGGTTGTTGGTTTGGCAGTGGGTTTGCTTGTTGGTTTGGTTGTTGGTTTGGTAGTTGGTTTGGTTGTTGGTTTGGCAGTCGGTTTGGTGGTTGGTTTGAGGGTTGGTTGGCTGGTTGAGGGTTGGTTGGCTGGTTGGTTTGAGGGTGGGTTCATTTCTTGGTTCGGTGGTCGGTCGTTCATTTGTTCATTTCTCTATCTGGGTTGTTAGTTTGGTGGCTGGTCTGTTGGTTGGACGGCTGGTTGGTTGGTCTTACGGTCAGTGATTACGCGGGTTGGTTTGGCGGTTGGTTTCGGCGGTTGGTTTCGACGGTTGGTTTCGGCCAGTCGGCTTAGTGGTTGGTTGGAGGGTTTGTTGCGTGGTTGGTTTGGTGGCTCATTTGTTGATTGGACGGCTGGTTGATCGGTTGGCTGGCAGGGTGATTGGGCTGGTTGGTTTGGCGGTCGGTTTGAAGGTTTGGTCAGCTGTCGGTTCAGTGGACCGATCATTGGGTGTTCAGTTTGAGGCCCAGCTGTGCACTTGGTTTGGAGGTTGACTTGGAGGTTGGCTCGGTTGTTTGTCGATTTCCCTATCCTGGATCATTTCCTCTATGGGGGGAACGGTGGGGGGGAGGAGGGAAGGGTGAGGCCGGGGGGGGGGGGGGGGGGGAGGACCGTGCGGGTATTTTCTTCTGCTGCTGTTGTTCTGTGAAAACAATGGCAGGTGTGCTTGCATTTCTCATCTGCTTAATAACAATAGGGTGAGTTCTGATTTCGCCTTTCCATCAGTATCCTTGGCCACAGTTCAAAAATAGGGTCAAAAAATTCAAAAAATAAAATAAAAATATTAAAATTTTACAAATGACAAAATTGAACCTTTTTTTTTTTTTTTTTTTTTTTCAGGTTTTAAACTTTAAACTTTAAAGGGACAGAAAAGAAAAGAAACATGGCCCTGGACTCCTGGAGCCTGTGGTGGACTTATCTGTGCGAATCCCATCGGGTTACGAACTTCCGGTCCAGTGTGAATCTTTCGAAATGAGTTACCACTGGGTTACCGCATAGTGTGAATTTGTGAAATGAGTTACCGCCAGGTTACCACCCAGTGTGAATTTGTGAAATCAGTTGACCAAGTTGACCAATCAGCTGACCAAAAAGTGCACCCCCTCCACAAGGTGTATGCAAAAGCTGACACCAGCTAGAGTTGGGGATGACATGTCATCCAGATGTGCACTACGCTTGAAGGGGGGGGGGGGGAGAAGAGGGGGGAAAAATAAAAAATGACAAGGGGGGATTACTACCGTCTTCACCCGAGTCCTACGCAGCAGCGAACCCGCCTTAACCCGTCTTGTTAATAGGGGGTTGGCCTACCAGACTGAGATGGCTGTGGCACAAGAGAAAGGGAAATTATATCGCACTGTTGTTTGAGGTGGTATTTCCAGCTGAACCTGACACTTTCTTTCTTTCCTTTCTTATCTTCCTTTTCCTTGTCTTTTGTTTCAGTTATACCTTCCCCCGGCCTTAAAGCACCCAGTACATGCCAGCTATCGGCCGCAGGCCCCTTTCGGAGGCCACCCGCCGCCGATTCATTTGATTTATTCATTTGATTTATCTACGGCGCTCGGCCTCCAAAATTTCCGGAGAGGCTCAAAACAGGTTCTCTAGTTGCCTGGGCCCTGGGGCCATGTTCTGGTGGTTTAAACCAGCAGTACTTTGGGTGGTCGCAGTGTCCATGCTGGCAGCCATTGCTATAGCGCCGTGTGACGTTGTTTCCACTTGAATGAATTTTGGCCAGCACCCCGGGAAGGTTCATCCCAGCACGTCGCAGCACGCATGCGGCCGCGGCTTTTGGAAGTACTGGTGGTTTAAGCCGCCGTTGGCTCTGCTGCCCGAGTTCGCAGAGACGAAATTAATAAAGTATTGAATACTATTGATGCACCGAGGGTGGCAATCCTCGGGAAAGAAACATGGACTGCACGGGCGAAAAAGCAGATTATTTGATGCACCGAGGGTGACAACCTTCGGGAAAGAAATCCTAAAGTCTCACAACAAATTGACTGTTCAGAAGTCAATCATCGAGCTTTTGGTGCTTGGTCCAACTGGAGATGTGCAATTTAAAAAAAAAAAAAAAAAAAAAAAAAAAGGGAACTGGACATGCGCTATCTTACATGCTGGTTGAAGAAGAGAGAGGGCGCAGCCCTCACTAGACCGGGACAGCCGTATTTGGGACAACTTTCTGTCCAGATGCAGTGATAATCACCAGACATTCTTTTTTTTCTCTTTTTTTCAACTAAGCTATACTCTTCAGTCAATATATCCCACACTACCTACCGTTGTCTCCCGAACACAATGCACCCTCGTTTTGGCCGTACCAGACCGGAAATATAGCTTGTATACATTCATTTTTAGGCTGTGTTATGTTCTGGGAAAGACGGTAGCAGCAGCCTGTGGATCGATTGGTCTACAGACTCTACAAGTTTCCCTACTACTACCGCCTTGGCCTTCTCTGTCTCAGCCTAACCCCCTTGGTGAAGAATGGAAGGGAGGGGCTCCCACCAAGATCAGCCAGGGGGGGAGTATGTTCGGGGGAAGACGGTAGCAGTAGCCTCTGGATGGATTTTGGTCTACAAGTTTCCCTACTACCCGTCTTCACCCGAATAGAACACCCGGTCATTATAGCTGCATTTCGTGCAACTTTCAGTCCAGATACCGCAATAATTACCGGGCGTTCTATTCGGGTGAAGACGGTAGCCTTAGCCTTCTCTGTCTCAGCCTAACCCCCCCCCTTGGTGAAGGATGGAAGAGGGGGGCTCCTACCAAGATCAGCCAGGGGCGGGGGGGGCGAAGCCAACTATTTCAGCCGGTGAACCCGATGTGCGCCTCAGGGGCCGCGGGGAATCGGATGAACCACGTGGGGAAATTGAACCCACGACCTCCGGAATGCCACTCATGCGCTCTACCAACTGAGCTAGGCCGCTGGCCGGATGACCAGACGTTCTATTTGACTGATTGCTGCATGCTGCTCAGGAAGGTAGGGTGTGCAATTCCATGTAAGCTTTTCCGGTTGTTGTTGTTTTTTTGTTTTTTTTTTCCCTGCCAACTATTCTGGTGTGCTTGTTAAGTCCAATTTTGTGGCAAGCTTGCAATCAAGTGGTATCATCTCACACACACACACAAAAAAAAGAAGAAGTGGTATGATCTCATCTCAATCAATTGTGCGAGTGTCATGACCGATGCAAGTATGGAGCTTCTTGGAAAACATAACGACAGAGTAGAACCGAACGGAACCACACCAAACTAAATCAGACCCGACCACACCAAACCAAAGACAAACCAAAACCAAACAAAACCCTACACCAAAACCAAAACCAAACAAAACCAAAACCAACCAAAACCAAAACCAAAACCAAAACCAAAACCAAACAAAATCCAAACGAAAACCAAAACCAAAACCAAAACCAAAACCAAAACCAGGCCAAACCAAAGCCAAACTGAAACGAGACCAAACCGAAACCAAAACCGAACCACACTAAAACCAAAACCGAAACCGAAACCAAAACCAAACCAAACAAATCCAAACCAAAGCGAAACCAGACCAAAACCAAACCGAACAAATCCAAACCAAAGCGAAACCAGACCAAAACCAAACCAAAACAAAACCAAAACAAAACAAAACCAAAACCAAAACCAAAACGAAAACGAAACCAAAACCAAAACCAAAACCAAACCAAACCAAAGCAAAACCAAAGCAAAATGAAGCAAAACAAAGCAAAAGCAAATCAAAGATTCAAAAGTGATTGTCACAACCTTGTTTATTGGATTGGTTGCAGGTTGATCAACTTCAATTATTCTAAAACAACATCTGGTTTATTTGTGACTATCGTCTTCGCATCGTTGATTGCCTGGTAAGTGCATGGGCCTGCTGGCCTTTCCTATCTCCAGACTGAGCTGGCCCTGTTTTCTTATCCCGCTCCTATCTTGTTTGTATTAACTCTCAAGTGACTTCTCTTTGATCGTTGATATGCGGCTCTATGAGTCGTCCTTGCAAGTACCCATGAAAAGAAAAATGTTTGCAAGCATTAGCAACATTACCTGATATGAGTTCTTGACCTACCGGTAGTCCGCCTACTACTGGTAGCTGAACAGGGACCAAGATTAGCTGTGTAACTCCAATTCCACACAACAGATGTCTGCCTACGAATGCCGCGTGTGCATGAATAAGTGTCACACTCCCAGTTCATAATATCATGGCAGAGGCTTTCACACTGCTCATTTGTTTGTTTGTTTGTTTGGTCATTCAATTGCTTGCTCATCGGTTCGTTTGTTCGTTCGTGCAAACAATCATTCTTTCGCTGATTCGCTTGTTCGTTCATTTGTTCATTTGTTCATTCATCCTTCGCTCACTCACTTGGTCGGTCAGTCGGTCCTCCCTGCCTCGCTACCTCCCCTACTCCTGTCTCTTATACACATCTAGATGTGTATAAGAGACAGGAGAGAGAGAGAGAGAGAGAGAGAGAGAGAGCTCCGTCCCTCCCTCCCTCCTTGTCCGTCCCTCCCTCCCTCCTTGCTCTGTCCCTCCACCCTTCCTTCCCCCCTCCCCTCCTCCCTCCTGTCCCTCTTCCCCCCGTACTGTTCTATACCCAAATTTCAGATTCTTTCTCCATTTCTTCCCTTGTGTCATGCGTGTACTGGATCTGTTGCAGCAGATTCCTTTTTTCTTTTTTCTTCTTTTTTTTTTCCGATTTGGACAAGTTGTTCCATTTCTCAGTTTTCGCCTATCATCCTTGTGCAGGGTCCATGCTACCTAAGGGCTTTTTTGGCAAAATTGCAAAATTTGCTATGCTTTTTAGAGTCAGACTTTGCCCGCCCGCCCATCAAAAATGCGCAATTGGTGTGGCAAATGTCAGCGGTCCCGCTTTTATTTTCCTACCTTCCTTCCCACCTTCCTATTTACCGTCCTCCTTCCCTAACCACCTTCCTTACCTAGATTCCTACCCACCTTCCTACCCTACCTTCTGACCCAGACCTCCTACCTTCCTATTCCTCCCTTTCTCCCTCCCTCCTACTTTCCTAACTTGATACCAACCCTCCTTCTCTTTTTTTGTTTTGTTTATGTTTTTGCTGCTGTTGGGCCCAGCTCCTTTGTTCTGGCGAGTGTCTGTCCGGTTGCTCTTCCATTGTACCAACCCTTTTCCATTCCTACATTCCTCCCTGCTTACCTTCCTATTTACCTTCCTACCCTCCTGACCACCTTCCTGCCTCCCTCCCATCATACCTTCCTACCTGCTTTTCCTACCTGCTTTTCCTACCTGCTTCATACAATCCTAACCACCTTCTAGCCTGTCTGATTTCCAACGTCCCGGTCCCAGAGTCCCAGTTGGGCCCAGTCCCAGATCATTGCAGTCCCACTAGGCCCCGGTAGGTCCCAGTCCCAGGGTCTTAGGGGTCCCGAAGGGTCTGTACGCCCATGCGTCGAAGTCCAGCGGGTCCGGAACTTAAGCGTCGTCAGTAAAAAGAAGTCTACCCTACCCAACAGAAAAAAGTCCAGTCCCAAAGTCCAATTTTGCAGCAGCATCCCAAGAAAGTCGGGAGACTTGGGGACCGGCAACATGCAGTTGACAGGCCGTGGGCGACCGGTACCGGTCCGAAGTGGTGCTGGTGGCGGTCCCAAGAAAGTCTGGAGACTTCGGGACCGACAACAACAAGTCCAAAGAACTATTTATAGCTGCTACGGCGAGACCCCGAACCAACTGCTCATTCGCGAGTTCCGGAAGTGGTGCTGGTGGCTTGTGCGACAGTATAAATTGGCCGGAGACCTGTGCTGAGAGAAGAAGGACACCGCGCCGCCATACCTATAGGGTTATGGGAAGAGGAAGAAGGAGGCCATAGCGCAGTCGTTAGATGTAGGGGTGTATTCAGGAAGGTGACTCGCGCATGGGTGGTACAAGGTCATAGAGAGTAAGGCTGTGTGATACAAG